GACATAGTCCCTCCAGCGTGTCCTGGGTCTTCCTCTGGGTCTCCTCCCAGTGGGATGTGTCTGGAACACCTCACCAGGGAGGCGTCCACGAGCCACCTCAACTGGCTCCTCTCGACGTGGAGAAGCAGCGGCTCTACTCTGAGTCCCTCCGGGATGACCGAGCTTCTCACCCTGTCTCTAAGGGAGAGCCCAGACACCCTGCGGAGAAAACTCATTTCGGCCGCTTGTATCCGTGATCTCGTTCTTTCGGTCACAACCCAAAGCTCATGACCATAGATGAGGGTAGGAACATAGATCGATCGGTAAATTGAGAGCTTCACCTTTTGACTCAGCTCTCTCTTCACCACGACAGACCAGTACAGCGCCCGCTTCACTGCAGACGCTGCACCTGTGTTTTTACATCTCTGAACTGTCATTTTATGATACTGGAAATGTTGATTATTTTTCAACGATGCAACTCTAATTCATGTCTAAACTATTAAAGTTGTGTTGGAAAACAAAAACTACGGCGTCGACTAAATTTTACTCACAAGTTGTAAGAGACGAAATTATGCTAAGAACTACCTGCAGAAATAAATGAATTGTACACAGAAGCTTTCAAAGTCACTTCACTTCTTTCCAACAGGAATTGAGACTGTGCACCAGAGGTGCTCGTACTGGTCACTGACAACCATTTACTTACCATTTCTTTATATATTGAGCTAATTCAAATATGAATTATTTTGTAAATTTGCATTTTTACTTCTCTAATAAATGTCCAAACATTAATTCTGCTTTTAAACGCAACTTTGTTTTGTGATGTTTCTATACTCAAGTGAGAGATTCGATGTTAACGGAGGATTTTGTTCTTTGCGGCTGTTTGTTCCTCCTCATTAGACTCGATCGTTTCTCTACTTCGACCTCAGTCTTTGTCTCAAACTGTTTAGATTTTGTAGCCTGAGAAACACAATCATTCCTTTTAACGGCGTGCATCCTCGCAATTTTATTTCAGGAACCGGTGACGTCGTGTGTTTATGGGTCTCTTTATACGGGACCATTTATTCTGAGTAGTTTGGGTCTCTAGTAAAGATTTAAAAATCATGCCTGGACATCCCAATAAAAGTCTGTTCAGTACGTAGGATGTTTTTATATTTACCTTGTAAGCTGTTTGTTCAACAGAAAGCGTGAATGAGGTTTATTGAGGCCCAGTGATGATCTCCTCAGCCCTCTGCATGAGCACTAATCCTCAGAGAGCGCAGGGAGAAACGCTCAGCAGACAAGCCTCATTAAATATTGACCGTGTTTGGCCGCCATCAACGGCTCGCACAACAAACAGCCGCAGATCGTTTGGCTTCTCTCTGCCCAGCTCAGGCCACGTGTCGCTGCAGGCAGCAGAGAAACACCAGCCAGGTTTGACTGGGGGCCAGTCTGTGACGGCACCGTGTTAAATATTAATGTCTGCCGATGATTATTGTAGGAGATGGAGAGAGGCAGGAAGTGTGATGGAGGTGACACTCCCATTCATCACGGGGGCCTTAACAGAATCTAAATCCTCCCTGTGTTTTTAACCTTGGTGCTCTGGAGGAGGAAGAGGAGGAGGAGACGTGGTGAAGAGGCGGAGGCAGAGATGAAACCGATACAGACGGGAGAACGACCGGGGGAAAGATCCGACGCTGTGCAAGTTATGAGCAGCCATGAGCAATGGGCCCAGAGAAATGTAAAGATGGATGGATGGATGCAAAGCAAGATCCCGAGCGGTGATACAAAATAAAAAAAGATGGAGAGAAATCGGCTGCACGACGTTAAAAGGTTCTTTTCCTCAGCTGACCCGTCACTTCCCATGTGACAGGCTGACAAATGTGCAGAAAGGAGCTCTTATCTTATTTTATCAAGGCCTGGCAGTCACTCGAGCTCCATTCAGCATAAATAAACAAGTGGAGAGGAAGATGGCAGCCGTCTCACCTCCTTTTCAAGGATGTCATTCACTTCTGAGGCGTCACCTCCTCTGACTCCTGCTTTTTATCAGGGAGGAAAAAGGAAGGCTGGACGGCCATTTATGCACCTGATATCTTTTGAATCCTTTAATCAAGCAGAGCGCCACGTGAGGAGGGGATGGAGGATGGATATATTTACATATAATATATATAAAATATATAATATCTATTTCCTGTTGGCCCTTTCGACCAAGTCTAATGTATCGAACCTTTAGAGGCTCGGAGCAGATTAAACATTGCACAGCCCGACTTTAAAAGCCAAACGTAGACAAGAGGAAAAGTTACCACGAACACAGTTGACTTTTATCTTTTTTATATAGTTTTTGCTCTTTTTTAAATTAACATTAGACACAAAAATAAAATGAACAATGACATTTACTGCTTCGATCGTTCGTCTCTGAGCTTGTTCAGAAACTTGTCCAGTTGTATTTGTGTAAGTTTGTGTGTCATCACTTCTGAACATGCTGAGAAATGTGTCCAACAGGACTGATGGGATAAAAAACAGCATTTATAGGCGTTTTAATGTGGGCTGTCTCACTAAACTGCAATCAAGAGGCTAAACGTGACAGTGAAAACGTTCAGAGTACGGGGTGCCGTTTATAAAGTTACACAGACAATAATTAACAGCAATATTTTGGTTTATTTAGCCTTTCGTAAGAAAAAAAAGCTTTTCTTTCAAAGTCATATTCACTGTTATTCATACATTTCACTAACTAAATATTTAACTTGCAAGTTAAATATTTAGGTGTAAGTTAAGTATTTAATTTCCAAGCTAAATATTTATTTTCAAAACTAAACTTTTAATTTCCAAACCAAATATTAAATTTTTAATTTAAACATTTAATTCCTAAACTAAATATTTAATTTACTAACTAAATATTTAGCTTGCACCTAAATATTTATTTTTCAAATTAAACATTTAATTTCCAAAATAAATATTAAATTTGCTAAACTAAATATTTAGGTCGGACATAAATATTTATCTTGCTAGCTAAATATTTAGCTAGTAAGTTAAATATTTAGTTTCTAAATTAAACATTTAGCTTGGACATGAACATTTAGTTTGTAAACAAAATATTTTGTGTGGAGTTAAATATTTAGTTTACAAACTAAATATTTAACTTGCAAGTTATTAGTATTTAATTTGTAAATTAAATGTTTAGCTTGTAAATTAAATATTTAGTTTGGAACTATGACATAACATGGTGAAAATATGACTTTAATTTTTTATGAAAGGCTAAATAAACCACAATATTGCTGTTAATTATTTAACTTTACAAACAGCACCCCATATCAGAAGTCTGTTGACGTCCACATGAAACAAGATGTTTAATTTCACGAGTCGCCACTGTGAGTTTCAAAAAGTGCCGAGTCGTGATGCCTGAGAGCTCCAGCAGAAATAACTGATGTGATTAACCTGGAGAGCGTCCGCAGGAGGACGAGTTAAAATAATCAAACGTGTCCGTGCTGTTGTGTCTCCAGGAGTATCAGCCGTGCAACACCCTGCCGTGTCCTGACCTTAAGAAGACCACGCCGTGGACTCCCTGGACGCCCGTCAACATCTCTGACAACGGCGGCCACTATGAGCAACGTTTCCGCTACACTTGCAAAGCTCGAATCCCCGACCCCGGCCTGCTGGAAGTGGGGAGGCAGAGGATCGAGATGCGCTACTGCTCCAGCGACGGCTCCACTGGCTGCTCCACGGACGGTGAGTACGAGGTGGAGAAGGACGGACCTCACCAGCTTTCAGACGTGTTTATCCAACAGGCGCTGTTCGTCTCCGCAGGCTGGTGCTTGTTCTCCTCACCTGCAATGATCCCTCACTCTTCTGTTCTTCAAAACTTTCCTCTCTGCACGTGTCCTGGAAAAGAGTCTTAATTTATTTCTCTCTCGTGCTCATGATCTCGTCCTCCCCGACTTTATCAGTGGATCAAAGCCTCAGACGTAATGAGCTTTTAATGCACAGAGCCGATCAGCAGCTTACAACTGATTGTAGTTGCACAGATGTGCATGTGCGCGTGCGTGCGTGCGTGAAAAGTTTGGTTATACTCTTGGGCCACAGAGGACTGATTTTTGTAATGAATGTATAAAAGTTTTCATTGTTTAAGCTTTGTGTCCACACAGAAACTGCATTTTAAGGAACATGAACTAATCAATCAATCAATATAACTTTATTGCTCATAACATTCAATGAAACTGAGATTTATCTTTAAATAATTCAAATAAAAGTTTATCTTGTGGAACAGCTAATGTTCTCGTATGTTCAGAGTTGACTCACGTTCTCATCCAGCAAACAGCTGCTGAGAATTCAGTGTTGTCAACGTTTGTACTGGTTTGAAACTGGTCCAGATGATTTAACCAGTTTGCTGATCGAGATGCAGTTTCTGTGCTTGGATAAGTCTGACGCCGGCACACGGCACGCTGCAGCCGACTCATAAAGTTTGAGCTGCCTTTAGAGGTTCAACGTCAGCGCCTTGATAAGATGCAGCAGCGGCTTCACGTCACTTTGAGTTCATCTGAGCTACTGGGTGGTCCGTTGCCACCCTGCTGGGATCCCACAAGCTGCGCTAATCACAGAGGTTATCCCTGATGTACACTATTAGAGGGATTTTCCTTTTGATCTTCCTCATCTTCCTAATTTCTTATCACTAATAGCCGCCTTTGCATCACCGCCGCCACTGGTACAAGATGTTCTCTTCCCACTTTGAAGCCAACTCTTTAAATGTTCCTGAAGGGCTTAAGACGAGCACTGACAAGCACGCCGGCTGCAAAGTTTTACAAGGAGCGACAGCCGCACAAGAAGACATTGAGAACAAAGGGCTGAGCTTTATGGGCCTGTCTCAGTTCTGATTAGTGGGAGGAAGTCGCAGACACAACGCGCTTCATTGCAGGTTGTCACACGAGCCTGGCATCCGATCTGCGTTAATTACTACGACTAAAGACGTCAAACGCAGAGTTCAGCTGTCACTGCTGGCTACATCAGTCTGTGTTGAAGTAGGGTGGCAGATCCACACAACTTTCAGCAAATATAGGTGGGTTTTTGTTGTTCCCACAAGTCTAGCATTTGTACAAAAAGAAGGCAAAGTGATCTCTCCATCCTCAGTAATAGACAGGAACCTGGTCTGTGTGGAACAGACCTAATAATCAATAACCCTGGGCTTCATCAATATCAAAAACAATCATAAATATAAGCAATACATGTAAATGATTTATCATCATTACTATAGTGATATTCATAATCCAAATAGAATCAAGCTCATTATTTGAGAATTATTCAATATTCCTAATACTAAAGGTCCTAATATTGCATCTTAGCACACAATATAACATTTCACCTTTTCAATGTACCTTCAATTTAAATGCTTCATTGTTAACACTAGGAGCTAGTTATCCAGATCAAAACAAATGCAGGTGTTCAAAAATAATATAACGATACCGTCAGTGACATTTTTTATAGAAAAATATTAATGTTTGATAATTGTTTTTTTCTATAAGCACATTCAAATAAATGTAGCAATAGCACTGATTCAAGCCCAATACAATAACCTGGAGGCTAGCACTAGCATGCTAGCTCCAGAAACAAACAAAACAAACTCGCCAGTTCCCACTTTTCAAATACACAGCAGAAGGTTTTTTTTCACAGAGACATCTAAAAGTTGAGAGGCATATCAGTCAGAAATGGAAACATGGTCATTATATAAAGGGATTTCAATGGCTTAAAGCCTACCTGCAGCAGCTAGCCTCTCTCACACCTAGCCTGGTTGTGAGTGGCATGATTTGTTCCGGGAGCACGATCCGTACCGTGCATTCAGCTCTGGGCGCAGGAGAGGTGCGCCCAGAATGGTCCCATATCTTCTATTGAAGAGGAGCTAACTGTGCGTGTACAACTTTTAATGAGAGTCTATGGACAAAGATTTTTGCACGCCAGGGCGGAAATATGTCATCAATCAGAGACATTTTTGAACGAAACAACTCTACTCATCATTAACTATAAAATATTTATCTGACACAACACGAAATATGTGTACGTATATTGGAAAATATTTTTATTTCATTTTTTTAATGTCTTATTCAGGTAATGTGCTGAGTGCTGGAGTGGCGCCCTAGCGCCCTCTATTGGCCAGCCTCCACTGATAGGCCTTAAAAACCTTAGAAAACACCAACTTTAGCCATTTTTACTGATAATGAGCTGAAATTTGCTGTAGTGGTATCTGAGTCATCCTTAATACAGACTTCAAGAGTTAGGAGATCGTGGTTGTTTTTCTAACTGTTTTACCCTGAAGTGTATTTTTCTCTAAAGTTCATCCATGTTGGGAAGCAGCTGCGTAGAAGACCAGCCTGTCTCTTTAGCTACAGAAGAAATAAAACCTTTTCCACTCAGCCGTTGTTCATCTAATGATGCAGGACCCACCGTGACGTGCGAGGTCTCTGTGTGCAACCCTGTGCTCATTTCAAGGTTCTGATGTGATTCCGGTGCCAGAAGAGTTTCAAGTCATAACTGTTGAGAACGAAGATGGTCTCTGCTGGTCCGCTTCTTTATTTCAACCATTATCAAACCTGACGTCCATCTGCTGAGTGCTGCCGTGTGCAGTGGGTGTCTGCGGGCCGAGCTCATGCGCGTTTGCCAGTTTTGCTATTTACGATGACAGATACGCACCTGTTTGTGTTGGAGACCTTCTTCTTTTAGAAAGAACCCCTCTTCCTTCTGTCCATCTCTCACAGATGCATGTGGTATCCAACCCCCCAGAGACAGCAGTTAACCTTTTGTGGAGCAAGAGGCTATCATAAGATAATTACCCCCGCAGCAGTGGCGTGTATTGATGTTCACTGCTGGGGCAAAGGACACGGAGGTGTCTCGGAGACGAGCAATCAGAAGGAATGATGTGTCACTCGGTAAAGATTTACCATCTGCACTGGGCAGCTTGCAGTTGATTAGAGCGCCGTGCAGCATAAAACAGGCTGATGAGCATTTCCAGAAAGTATAATCAATTTCTCAGCACATAAAAATGATATAACTCGCCAATTACTAACCGGCTAAGATAATTAGTTGCATTAATCTTTTGACTAGTTTGGTACTTTAACCCAGAACTATTACCTGTGTGTCTTGTGCACATAAATACTCTTGAATAATTCATCCACAGTAGTCAGTAAACACCCCAGTGTGTCGGTTTTCAATCTAGACTGGATTCACGCCAACTCTTTCACTCGACTCGGCTGTGCTCAGACAGAGAAAAGATCCCAGTCAAACCACAAACCGAGGCTTGAACTGGGTTCAAATAAAGCAACGCGTGTGCAGAGTGGTAACTTGTGATGGACACCGCCCATCATAGCACCCAGTGACCACAGTGGGTCCAGTCAGCTCTGAGCCAACCAGAACAAACTGAATAGACTCATCCTGCAGCGTCCTGGTAATCCACACTGATTGATAGACGTTCTTATTGAGAGGATTTTAATAAACAGTTCATTAAAACTTTTACACAAAGAAAAGTTTCCCGTGTTTGGCTGTTTAATTATCTTTAATCAGCCGGCAGCTGAAGAGGACGTTTTGTACCCTGAGACGTCCAGGTAATAACTGCTGCCTGTGAGGGGTCACGTCAGATCCGTAGGGGGTCCTCCATCAGGGACCAGGGTGGACTGTGTTCAAACTACCAACCTGTAAAGGTGTTTGAGTGTTGTCTGAATCCAATCTGCTCAGGATGAAGCTCAGATTGGAACAACCCCCACTCAGGCAGCTGAGAACTCAGGAACCACAAAGGGACACGGATTGTAAAATTCTTTGTGGGAAATCCCCAAAATGATGTTTTAAATTTGACTCGACGTTCGATCAGAGTATCAGACAACCTGAAGGGCTGGAGCGTGACTGGAGACGTTCATGTGTTGCAGCTGATTAAAAGAAAGCCATGAATGAGATTTCAGGAGGTTTAAGGAAACGAAGCAGGGAAGCTTGTTGAGGTCTGAAAGGGTGAAGAAATGAACTGAAAGTGTTCAACCAAGATCACTCACATACAAAACAAACACCTTTGGTCCCAACACAGAGCCCTGAGGAACGCCACATCCATTAACACAAAATTCAGATCTTGCATAGTTTACCTGTACAAACTATTATTAAACAACTGGATACCCACTGGAGTGCTACTCCTCTAATGCCATGTTTATTCAGTTTGTCAAGGACGTGGTGTGGTCACTCGTCTCCGTGTGTCTCCACAAATCAAAACTCACCATGGGACGACTTCCTCCTCCAACAGATTGGACTCGGCTCCAAACAGACGACTCTCCTACATCACAGATATTTATTTTCTTGCTCATTGGAAGTCGATTCACGGACTTGAAAGTTTTTTTCTTCACTTGTTGCCTCTCAGTCCCTCGCAGGGCCTTCACCCCCCCCCCCCCCCCCCCCGCGATGGTTTTCGTCTCCCGCTGGCTCGGGCAGAATGTCACGGCATGTTTGAGCATCCTGGCAATCAGATCTATGTGACATTTGATGATGAGGGCTGCATTCAGAGACGAGCAGATGTTATTGATCACACCTGGGAGAAGCCCGTGCAGCATGCAGATGAGGAGGTTGATCCCCCCGCCCATCCAGACAGACTACATTCATATCTGAGTTATGTCAGTCAGCGCCCCGACCTCCTAGGTGGTCTCTAGGTTTCCGTCTCGAGTTGTCTCTCGTGCTGATCAGTCTTTATGACGAGGTATAAATGATGAAGA